TATTATTTAATAAATCTATTAGAAAGAAAAGGAAGAAGAAAATTCTTTCTTCTAATTTAATTCTCATCAAAATCAAATTCTGTCTCAATACAAATTGATTCGTCGTGATTCATATCGCAGTATATGCAATTTTTTTTCGCACATTCTGGGCTCAAGTGTTCATTGCTGAAACACTTGTAGCATCGACGTTGTTCGGATAATATGAATATTTTGTCCAAAACCGGTAATTCGCATTCGGTATCAGAATGATTTCCGTTGCAAAACATACATTTCAAATCCGATTCTTGTTTTTCCATGATAACTAGATGAATAAAATTGTTGATTTACGAATAAGATCAAAGCTGATACTGTAAAGAAAATAAATAAATGAAAAATAGTAAAAAATGTAAATTGACTTTTAAAATAATCTTTCTAGCTGCCTTTTCAAATGAATAAAGAATATGCTTGTTGTTATTTTCATAAAAATAATCAAATCTATGAAATTGAAGTTGTCTAAATGATCATTTCTTTCTCATCGTCAACAATGGTCACCAGTATGATTGAATAGGAACAGTTTATTGGCCTCAGGAAACAAAAATATTTGATCGTTTGAGTATTCGTTTTTGTATACCAGGATAGGTCAAAACTCACAAAAAACAGACCACATATGGTGTTTATTTTACCAATGTATTTTTAGAATTTATGACCACTATCTTAGAATTGTTTTGTTGTCATTGTTTTTGACTATCCACTATTTTAGAATATTATTTACAACGTATCTTTTCTCTACATCGAGTCTTATTTATTTTTCTAATTTCGATTTCAAACGAATTCGAATCGTCTTTCGTCATCATCGTCTTTCGTCATCATCGTCTTTCGTCATCATCGTCTTTCGTCATCATCGTGTTTTTTACATAAATTTAATTTTGTCTTTGCATCAATATTTTCAATTTCAAATTTTTCGTAATTTTTTCAAATCAAGAATTCGACCAAGATTTTACTGAAAATGTCTAAGTATACTTACGATAAGTTTCTTGGTACCGAAGTTGAACCGATTTTAGATTATTTGAGGAGAAGAAGAAGAATGAAGAGTTCAAACAAAAATATGACTCCTGAAGAATTCGAACAGAATTATCCGAAGAAAAAGTGCTTAATTAGAGGATGCACAGCAACGTTTTCTTATCCACATAGTTTAATAAATCATTTGAATACTCAGCATCTGAATTATTGTAAACGAATAACGTGAGTATCATATATCTTTTCAAAGGATCTTCAAATTTAATTGATTAAATTAAGGGAATCAAAGGAAGCAAGTGCTTCACACCAACCGATTGCCGGTCCTTCTCATCAAGATATAATAGAAAGAACAGATCAGGAATCGATAGAAACAACCGATCAGGAGTCGATAGAAGCAGCCAATCAGGAGCCTATGGAATCAACCGATCAGGAGTCGATAGAAACAACCGATCAGGAGCCTATGGAAACAACCGATCAGGATCCTATGGATGCATCTGGTATCCTTCCATCTCAGCAACATTCACAAACTTCAACATATAAAAGTGATAATTCCATGGTTTCAGAACCAATAGATTTTGAAAAAAGTGAATCCGATGTGGACGATGATGGATCCGATGAGGACAATGATGAATCCGATGAGGACAATGTTGAATTAGGTGAAATTAATGAATTTTACGAAAGTTGTTTGAAACCGGACCCAAAACACAATTCTTATTTGGTTTCATCAATTGGAAAATTGAAACCAGGTATTAATTGAAGAATAATTGTATTAATTGAAGAATAATTGTATTTATTCAACCAATTTTTGTAATTTATTAAGATGAACGAGATTTTTTGAAGCAATACATTGCGGAACTAATGGAATTTAGACTGAAAAAATCAATTCCAAACGCTCATGCTGAAGGATTCGGCAAAATAATCTCAAGAAAATTCATAGAAGCTGAACGTTATCCGGAACATATCAGGGAACATATGGCAAAATATTCTTCGAGTTGTTATTTGCAGAATAAATTCCTCGAAATACAAAATAACTATCTTAAACCAACACAGGTATTAAGTTCCATTCAATTCTCTATTTCGGCTCTTATCATAATATTTTTAGATTTCTCACCCAAGTGGAATCGATATTCAATATTTTTCGGTTGAAGGTATTTTGAGGTCAATCATCAATCAACATCCATCATTGATTGATTCAATCGCTAGAGAAAAATTACTTGATTTTCAGCCTGAATCTCAACGAACAAACATGCTGATTAAATCCGACATGGACACAACGGACGAAAGAATTTTTCGAAGACTGCAAGGAAAGCTTCGAGTAGAAATTTCGTTGGATGATTTCTCGTTTGTCGGGAAAAAAGGAAGAAAATTCGTAGCTGGTTACATGTCGTGCACGAATTTACCATTAAAAGAACGAACAAAACGAGATAATATATACTTGTTTTTAATGGCAAGAAGACCGTTTATTCGAATAGAAGAAGAGATGAACATTATGTTGACGCCATTCGTGAATGAAATGAAGCAATTGGAAAAAACTGGTATACAATTTCGAAGATCAATTAATATCGAGGTAACAATTGGGAAAGTGGTCTGCGACAATCTTTCGCATAATGAAATTTTGGGCTTTTCAATGTCATTCGGTCGAAGCAGTAATTGTCGGGAGTGTTTGATAAAACGTGAAC